CAGTGAATTCATTCAAATGTCAAGTCAAATTAAACAAATAGCACACTTATGAGGGGACTTTGAAGAAAAGAGAGAGAGATAAATTAAATCAAAATTTATCAAATGACGTCAGTTCAATGCATTCAGCTCACTGGTCAATAAAAAATAAATAAATAGAAAATAAAAATTGAAAATGAAAGTACCATATCTGGCCCAAGTCTGGGCAGCATCTGGCAAAATGTGGCATAAATGTCAGAGTTTGCCAGACTTGGCCCAGATCTGGCAAGTGTCTGGCAAAATGTGGCATAAATGCCAGACTTTGCCAGACTTGGCCCAGATCTGGCAAGTGTCTGGCAAAATCTGGCCCAGATATTGCCAGACGTTGCCAGATCTGGGCCAGACGTGGGCCAGATTACTGAGGCTGTCTGGGATGACATACAAGCTGGTCTGAGTGTGTGGACTGCGGGTGGGACATAGGGTGTCAGCAACTTGTAACTATTTATCTCTTGTATGTATTATACTTTTAGTGGTAGGACCTAATTGCTCTTAATGCGAAGGTCCTTAAATGCTCCATTTGCTCAAATTGAACGTTGTGTTAGCTGTGCTGAGATCCAGCAAAAGTTGAAGCAAAAAGAAAATATATAATAATAACAATAAAAAAGAATTTATAATAACCTTTTTTGTAATAATTTATTCTCAATCAATAATCAATAATATCATATCTAAACGAAAAATCAAAAGATATAATAACTGGGAAGCCGAGTAAAACAGCGGCGAGCTTCATGTGACCGGATGTACCGAGATGTGACCTAGTATTCACTGCGGGTTTTCTTTGACCTATTTAGGCTAAGCGCGGCGGAGCGGGAAAATTATACACGTTATGAAATAACGTTATACTAAGGCCAAGATATATTTATGAGTTACCATAAAAGTTTGATCTGAAGCAGTAGGGCATTCCACGATTCCAGCATCCTTTTAAATGCATGCAAACACATTCTTGATGACAGAAGGGTGAGTACTTTGTTGTAGTGATCTGGTACCGGAAGTCTTGGGATTGAAAGCGACAGTTGGGCGGGGTTTTTAAGAGAGAGAGAGAGAGAGAGAGAGAGAGAGAGAGAGAGAGAGAGAGCTGCAGATACAAGAGCTAGAGGATAGATAAAGGGAGTGTTATAAGTGTTATTCAGTAGATCTGGATTCCTGGAAATATCTGAGGTAAAACGTAAAAAGTTCTAGCAGAGTTAGGGAGCAATAGGGTTTCTATATGTTGTCCTAAAAAGTTATTTGAGGGGATTTTTACAGTGTTCATTTCGTCCTATCAGGTATCTTTATAACTCTCTATTTAGCTATAGCCCTCCAACTGGAGTGAAGTAATGGCTTTGCATGTTAGGAATTCATACATACCCCAGTATGTAGCCAAGTATAACATCACATTATTACAATGTTACATCTGGACTGCACCATTCCTGCATTGAATATAGTGTTGTGACACATTTTGAGGCATGTCGGGCTGCTTAAGATGCAAAGTCACAACAAATGTCCCTCTAAATTTAGCTTAAATTGCCAATATAAAATAATGACAATTTTAAGTTTTATTTTTTTTGTTTTAATGAAGTCATGGCAAAACATATCAGATGCATATTAGCAATTTTTTGAAAGTACAAATTTCTGCGAATATGAGGAAGCTGCCAAGTTTGAATTGTCAAGACCACTGCCAGTTAAGACATGCAAACGAACAGCTCTTTTTGCCGGGAAAAGGTTCCATCTGGGTAAATTTTCATTAGGTACACAATATGGTAAAAGGTCCACTTTTTTAGGGAAAAAACCTTTTGAAATAGCTAGCTACAGGCCTGTTGAATGTTTATAATGAGTGTTTCTCTTTTTTGTTTTTTCAGCTCAGGCACACAGTTTGACAGAGTGGTCAAATCTGAAAATGCAGTGATTTTCAATGAGATAGCAGAGAAAACCCTCACTGACCCAACACTAATCAAACTTGGAGGGAGAATCTCAACAGGAGATTGGAATCAGCAATCTGTACAGAAAAGATGAGGACATTGAACCAAACTGGGACATGAGAGAAGAATTTAGTATTATTGAAGCACACAAACCATTACTATAGTACCCATGTTTAACAGGGCACAAGCAAAATTACCACCGCGAATATAGAAATGGGTGATGGACTTACAAGATGTTGACTATGAAGTGGTATATGAGCCAGGAAAGAATGATGCAGATCACCCAGATTATCTCTCCAGACACCCACTGCCACAAATGGGTGGTCATAGTACAGAGAAGATGATCAGATGGATGGTCAAATCTGAAAATGCAGCGATTCTCGGTGAGATAGCAGAGAAAACACTCACTGATCCAACACTAATCAAACTTGGAAGGAGAATACACTCATTATATGTGACTATGTTTTAGTTAAACAGAACAAAAGAAACAAACTCTCAACACCATATGAACTGATTTTCTATATTGTCATGGAAATACATGGTTCTCAAGTTACTGCCAGAAGAGTTACAGACAGAAGAACAATCTGCAGAGATGCAAGTCAATTCAAACTGTGTAACAATGTCGTAAACACAACAGATGATGTAATGAAAATCCCAGCAGACTTGTATTTGAAAGAAATCACAAATGAGATGAGAAGGCAAGATGATGCATGTGAATTGCAACTTGGTGATATATTACAGTGAAAAGTGACATTGCAGCAACAGACACACAGAATATTCCAAACTTAAATGATATTGCATTAAAAACAAAGAATTCTGTTGATGAGAAGATGACCCAGCAAGGGAAAAACAGTGATCATATTGAAGAACCAATTTACACCAGACCAAAGAGAACAATCAGACAACCAGGTTTCTTAAAAGATTATGTATTGAAGATACAGTTCAATCATTTGTATGTAATCAGGATGAAGGCAGATCGCTGTCCTAAAATTGTAATCTGAGATAATATTGATATTTAAACAGGATGAAGGCGGATCGCTGTCCTAAAAAAAAAGTAATCTGAGATTATTTCTATGTAATCGGGATGAAGGCGGATCGCTGTCCTGAAAAAGAGTAATCTGAGATAATTGATATATTTAATCAGGATGAAGGCGGATCGCTGTCCTAAAAAAATAATCTGAGATAATTGATATTTAATCAGGATGAAGGCGGATCGCTGTCCTAAAAAAAGGAATCTGAGATAATTTATATTTAATCAGGATGAAGGCGGATCGCTGTCCTGATAAAAAATGTAATCTCAGATAATTTCTACGTAATCAGGATGAAGGCGGATCGCTGTCCTGAAAAAAAATAATCTGAGATAATTTATATGTAATCAGGATGAAGGCGGATCGCTGTCCTGAAAAGCTTGAGCATAAGCACTCAAGATGTGAATTTATACAAAATGAAAACTGAAAATTCCTCAGGATTCAAAATATTCAAGGATAATGATTTTTAAGTTTATACAAATGTATGTTGTAGAAAAAAATTAAGGTTGGAGGAATGTTATATCCAATACATGGCTGCCAATTAGTCGCGTCTAGACTGGGGCCACCACCTGGTGGATGACATGGTAATGGGAACGAGTGTGAAAGAAGCACATGGCAAGTGAGACTCACGGCACCAGGTCATAACAGATGATATGTATTCAACCCAAGGTGGAGCAGTGGTCATTACCCACCGTCACCCATCACCATGCCAAAAACACCTCCTTGCAGGTAGTGCACAAAATTATTGATTGGTTTTGTTTTACTAGTTGTGTTACAATAGATAATTTGTCTTCTATCCTTCCCCTGTAGATCAACAAACCAGTTGTCATATTTTGTTTCCTTTAAATATAGATAGTTTTTTTCACTTTTCTTATGTTACTCTTTACAAAATGAACTTAAACAAGGCACAGTAAACTGATATACTTATCCCAGATTATTACAGGTGTTAGGCAATTTGTGTGCAAATTTCACTAATTCCAAAAGAATTGGTTTATTTAACTTTGATCAGTTTAAGATTGTGACAGTTGTACCAGTCATAATTGTGCCCAGCAGCCTCCAAAAGACATTTTAAACTTGTCTCTGTTCAGTCACCACAACTTTGATGTCTGCCATATTAGGTGGATATTTGGCAGTATATTGTAGTTTTAATATTCTGCTGGCTCTTGTGGACTGTCAGGGTTCTGTCTTTTTATTAAGATAATTTATGTCACTTCATTCATATAATCCAGCTCCAGTCTCCATACAGCATGGTGGCTTCTAGGTGAACTGACTTTACCTGGCTGAACATGGGGGACATGAATTGTTAATATGAAATAGACAGGAAAAAGCAGCTGCAGGAACATCCCTTCACCTCACACAGTTGTGCAAGACACAGCAAGTTTCAGGATGAATAGGTTGTGAAGAGCCAGAGACAGGACAGCCAAGGTAAACAGGGAACTGGACTTCTTGCAGGTAGTTTGCCAATTGATATAATAATCCCAGATTTTTACAATTATGAGGCATTTTGTGGCAAATGTCACAATAAACCCCACAGATTTGGCAGAGTTCTATTTATTTAACAGTGTTCAATCTGAGAATGTGCTGGTCTCGGCAGTCACAGTTGTGCCCAGCAGCCTCCCCAGGGAGGTAGATCGATCCAAACATCTGTGGGAATGGTCCCTTATACATTGTCATGTCTCTTTTTCCAGCTCCAGTCTCCATACAGCATGATGTCTTCTAGGTGAACTGACTTTACCTGGCTGAACATGGTGGGAATGTATTTTTTATAAGACTGAAGCAGACATTAAAAGACAGCAACGGGAACATCTGCATCTCACCCAGTTGTGCAAGACACGGGATGCGGCAAGTTTTAGGATGAATGAAACAGAACAGAAACAGGACAGCCATTGTAAACAGGTGACTGGACCTCTTGCAGATAGCAAACAAAATGTATGGTTGTTTTTTTATACAAATAACGATAGGTAATTTGTTTCCCCTCTTTCCTTGTAAAGACACAAATACCAATTGTAACATTTTTTTTGGGGGGGGGGGGGTGAAATGATTATTTCAATGTTGAAAGCATGATTATTATGAATAAAATTAATGTTTCATTGCTTTAATTATAATGTAAATTTAATATTTATATTCATCAAGTGCTTTATTAATCACACCTGTCATTTGTTAAGAATTTGAACCAATTCATCTTGTATGCACAAAACACATATAATGAATACTTATATTTTAATTTGATCACCATTACATACGAGCAGTATCAAGATATAGATGTCAAGTATGGTGATACAAAAATGATTTTGTGCATTTTACAAAAGCATCCTATATTTGAATTACTTATCATTGAATTGTTTATGATAATAGTTTATACTAGATGCACGAAGAATTGTTAAGGATATTACAGAGATGATTCACATGAAAACAGTTACATTGCAAACATTTCATTAATGATTTTAGAGAGTGCTGCCAGAACCACCCAGAACAAGACTTCCAAACACGGCAGATCCTGTGGAGCCAGTTATATGGAACAGTACAATTACACAACAAATGTGGGTTCCAGGTAACACAAAGAATCAATTTCCCCCATATGCATGGAAACTATAGAGGCAGGGTATATAAAGCAAGGAGATTGTGTTGGACAATACTCTATCACTGAAGACAAATAGACATAATGGATATGTTTAAAAGTGAATTGATATTTCAGCTCAGTTGTGATGTGTTATAATAATTTTCCCCATATGCATGGAAACTGTTACAGTACTAGTAGAGGTAGCATATACAGTGAGATTGT